CCCCCCAGCCCCTCCTCCCCCAGACCCCGGAGTCCGGGCCCCCCAGCCCCTCCTCCCCCAGACCCCGGAGTCCGGGCCCCCCAGCCCCTCCTCCCTCAGACCCGGGAGTCCAGGTCCCCAGCCCCTTCTCCCTCAGACCTGGGAGTCTCAGCCCCCAGCCCCTCCTCCCCAAGACGCAGGAGTCCAGGTCCCCAGCCGCCGCCTCCTCCCTCAAGACCCAGGAATCCGGGCCCTCAGACCCAGAGTCCCGGCCCCAGTGCCCTCCTTCCTCGAGACCTAGTAGTCCAGGCCCCGAGCGCCATCCTTCTTCAGACGTGGGATTCCTGAACCCCCACCCCCTCCTCGGATCCAGGAATCCGAGCGCCCAACCTCTATCTCCCCGAGACCCCAGCGCCCTGTCGCCGCCCCCTCAAGCCGCGGATCCTCGGGGCTACCTGGGGGCGCCGGCCGGTTCGGGCAGCGGGGAGACGGGGAGGGGGCACGGGAAGCCGCGGTTCGCTGCAGAGCCCTCAGGTGCGGCTACCTCCGCGGTCCAGCGCGGGGGCGGGGCCGCGTCGCGTCACCGGGAGGGAGCCCGGCTCTGATGTCACCCGGCACCTGCCCGGCTTGGGAAGGGGGCGGGTCCCGGGGCTGCAGGGCTCTCGCCAGGGGGATGGGGGAGGCGGGGATGAGCGTGTTGCCAGGTGGGCGGCGGTGGCGGCGGCAGCGCCAGAGGCCCCTCCTCCTTCTGGCGGGCGAAGGTCAAGGGCCCGCGGCGGAGAGGGCTGAGGACTCCCGGGTTCGAATCCCGCTCTAGCTTCCTGGGCCTCAGCCTTCCTCTCTGTAAACTGCGGCCAATGAAATAAATAAAACGATGTGGGAGAACATGCCCAGCCCAATGCTTGCACAAGCAATGCCTCACCACATCATTTAGTCCCTCTGAGCCTCAGTTTGCCCAGCCCTGGAAATGGGACAACACAATCCACAGAGGATGCTAGGAGTACCAAAGACGACGACAAAATGTTATTCCGGCCTCCTCCTGAACTTCAGTCTCCTCATGGGGAAAACGAGGACTAAATAGTGATAAGCGCACCTACTACGTGCGGGCTGTTTGCTGTTCTTAGAACAGCTCTCCGAGTTTTAACTCAGAGAACGATCTCCGCAACCAATGAGATAGGGTCGATCAGCACCTCCATTTCTCCGATGGGGAAACCGAGGCAGGGAGAGGCGAAGTAACGCGCTCAAGGTCACAGAGTCAGTAAGAGGCAGAGCTGGGATTCAAGCCCAGACCGTTTTCTGTGATTCTAAAAAGGGGATTTGGCGGCAACGCGTAGTGGGTCCTCAAAAATGTCAATAGTCTCCTCCCTTGTTGGTAACTCTCTGGAACCCGCTTCCCCATCTACGCCCTAGGGACCGCAGCCTTCCCCGGGGGGCCACTGTGTAAGTTTAAGCCAGCACACAGTCGGTCTCCGAAGTGTTATTCTCGACCCGATCCCCCTGCAGTCCCCGCCTCTGTCCAGCCTGTTTTTCCCTCACTGTGAAATGGGTCCAATATAACCCACTTCGAGTTAATATATTTAAAGGAGATTAGTTATAAAAATAAAGGCGCCAAAGTACACCATAGGCGCTCAATTACGTCTTTGCACCCTCCCTCTGCCTCTGCCAGTCCTGACCCCTGTCTCTGGTCCGCAATTTTTACACGTGTAGACAGAGACACTGTCATCTGGGGGCGGGGGATTGAAGGCGATGACTCAGGAATTCAACTGTCCGAGGTCCCAAAGCGAGCCTCAGTTTCCCTTTCTGCAGAACGGGCCCGGGGTCGCCAGCGAGGACCCCGGCCCGGCCTGGCGCACAGTGGGGACTCGAGTTGGGCGAGTGTAGACGCCCCGCCCCGCCCCCCCGCCCCGCCGTCCCGCTGCGCGCCCAAGGTGAGCGCCCGAGTCCCCGCCCCTCCCCCGCCGCCCGCGCCGGCCTCCAGCGCCTCGATCGCGGCCCCAGGCTCCAGCCTCCCCGGGCCCCGTCCCGCTCCGCCGCCTCCCGCGGGCAGTGGGCCGCGGACACTCACCGGCTTCCAGGGCCGCCCGGAGGCTTCGGCCTGGGGAGAAGGAGGGGCGGGCCCGCCAGGAAAGCCCCGCCCACACGAGCGCAGCAGGGGCCAATCGGCGCCCGCTGCGGCAACCCACGGCCCCGCCCATCGGGGGACGCGCCCGCCAATCAAGAGGAGCGGCTGGCGGGCAGGGCCAATCAGAAGTTGCCGGAGAGTGCCAGCCGTGGGAAAAGAACAGCGCCGCAGCGCAGAGTTCGGCGGCGCGGTCGTGGGCGGGACCCGAGGCCTGACGGGCAGCGGGTGCGACCAATGGCGAGGCGCGAGGGGCTGCCGGGGGGCGGGAGGCCCAAGGGACCAGGGTGAATGGGGCGCTTTGTGCACGAGGCGTGAATGGGGGCCTTTGTAAGGGCCGGCGTGGGGGGGCGGCTGGAGGCCGGAATGCCTGGGTCCCCCGGGAGCCGGCGGGCAGGAGAGACGGGAGGGAGAATTCACTTTTGTCGAACGCCGACCGCGTACCAGGCTCTTACCCACCGAGAGGTGTGGGCGACCCCGTTGGTAATAATAATGATCATTTACTGAGTGCCTGATGCATGCCAGGAGCTGTGCTAAGCACTTTACCTACATGATCTCATTTGATCCTTACCACTACCCCCGGGCCTGGGTGCTATTAAGATCTTCATCTTGCAGATGAGGTAAACAGAAGCTTGGAAAGAGGGTGTTAATTGCCGAAAGTCACAGAGGTGGCAAATGGCAGAGCAGGGACTCGGCTCCCGTCGAACCTGACTCCAGAATTGGCGCTCTTAACCACCATGCTACACCCAAACGTTGGTGACTGCCTCCCAATTTACAGGTGGGAGAACAGGCTCAGAGGAGGCCTACGACCTCCCAAGGACACAAGGCAGAGGCTCCACGGAACCCGAGGCGGTGCCCACGTCTGAAGCTGGCCTGTTGCTGGTGACCCCTGCGCCACTGGTCTCGGAGCTGTGTCCCCGTTTTGCAGGTGTACACTGAGGCTCCAGGAGGGGCAGCCGCTGGGGTGGAGGTGGGGAGGCTGCACGAGAATCAAGCCCCACCCGGCCTGCCAGCCTGGCTCTGCTGCTCCACAGCTGTGTGAGCTTGGGCCAGTCACTGGCCTTTTTTAAGGTTCCATTTATTTCTGCATCTGTAAAATGGGGATGATGGCCTCGCTGCCTCTACCCTTGTCGCCTCCTGCACACACACACAGTCTACTGCCCATGGGATCCTGTCACACTCTATTCAGACTGCACCCCTCCTCTGCTCCGATCTTTCATGCCCCCATCTCAGACTAGAAGCTGAAGTCCTCACACGGCCCACGAGGC